ATCTTTGCGGGTTTACACACCTTTTCTTTGTCAGTTTCTTCATCACTTTTCTTGGAAGATGCTGAAAATGCTCTTTTCAATTTTCTTTTAGAACCCCTGTCTGATTCAACACGTTTCAAACTACTTGACTTGAAAAGTATTGCCTCAATTTCCTCATCTTCTTCATCATCTGTGAAAAAGATACATTTAATATACTACTATTTGAGATCATAACATAACCTGAAAACAAGTGTGTATGCATTGAAGGTAGTTGTTACAAAAAACCTCACGATTGAAACATGTTTGAGTTGTTTTAAACAAAAAATAAAGTCACCCTAACTAAGCTGATGTTAGTATCAAAGTAGATAAAAGCATATGCATAGAGAATGAGACAAAGTTTGAACCACATGGTGGGTATCACTTACCAATTACATTCTCATTTAAAGCATCTACAATGTTGGCATAGCAAGAAAGTTAAGAAATGAATATTCATAGGATTTAGTATACAGTGATAAGATACAGCAGTCAATTACAAACCATGATTATGTCTACATTCTAGACAAGTATTAGTATCGTGTATAAAATGTTTACATTGTACAGTTGTCTACTGTTGCGCCTTGTATAATTATTTTTTTCTGTTAATTTCTTTGTTGTTGAGAATTTTAACAATGTTTAGTTTGACTATGTTTTAAAATAAAAAAACAAAAACATGTCTTTCTTTTACACCAAAACAGCTAGTTTGTGCTTTTCAATAATTCAGCACAATTTATTAGAGAAAAGTACACTATAATTTTACTAAACTGATGTACTTACCATCACTGACATCTTCATCTTTTTGTTTGGTTTGCATCATTACCAATTCATAATATAACCCTTCAGCAGCCATGAGTTCATCATGAGTTCCTTCTTCGACAATAACACCATTTTGTACAGAACAGATTTTATCAGCATTTCTGATAGTTGATAATCTATGTGCAATCACTATTGTTGTTCTTCCTTCACTTGCCTAGTGTAAACAACAATACTGATTGGTTAAACTGATTGCATAAATTATGGAAATGAGAAATGACACTTGCCTAGTGTAAACACAACAATACTGATTGGTTAAACTGAATGCATACATTATGGAAATGAGAAATGACACTTGCCTAGTGTAAACACAACAATACTGATTGATTAAACTGAATGCATACATTATGGAAATGAGAAATGACACTTGCCTAGTGTTAAACACAACAATACTGATTGGTTAAACTGAATGCATACATGATGGAATGAGAAATGACACTT